TAGCATTACCGGTATATGTGACGGTAATTTTGTAAGGCTTATATACCAAGATTTTTTCTTTAAGTATCAAATTTTGACCCAGCCTTTTTTTTTTTATTTAAAAAAATCAAGAGTCCAAGGTAAAGGAAAGATCTTTCATGGTTTTGGAACTGGTCACTTCCTCCCATGCGGCTCTCCAGTAATTTGAGCCCAGTAGATAAATTTTTTACTTTTCTAAAAAAAAAAAAGCGAACCAAATTATTAATCAAGATTTTAAAGCGATCAAACTCAACTTTAATTACAACCTATTGTTACCGGAGTAGCAAGTAAGTTTTGCTGTAGCTCACGATAGAAGTCGTGATAATTCTAATGCGAATAACTCAACTTTAACTACATACTATGTCTCACCGAGTGTAGGAATAATAGCAGTCCAGTTTGGTTTAGTCTGATCCGGTCTTAAGACTTAGAGAAGGCCAAATTTTTTTGGGTTTCAGACTGGCCTTAAGACTAACTGTGGTCTGTTGATCCAAGACCAGACCACATAATATCCTACTCGTACTGAAAAGCGAATTTTGTAATATTCATGGTAGAAATTACAATAATTTTCCAATACAGACCAACACCAGATTTTTAATTACCGGAATGATGAGTAGTTTTATGATATTTTTTTTTTTTGCAATTAATGAAAGAAATTACGATAATCTTCAACCTTAATTACAAACTATTATCACTGGAAGTCACGATAATTCTGATGGAATCATCCAGGGCAGCCTCCAAAAGTTCGGTGACGTATATTATAGGCATTGGATTACAATTACTAAGAAAATAATCTACAATGTGCAGATAGAAGAGAGCCAATAAATGGCACTAACTAATCTTACGTCACCGAACTTTTTGGGGCCGTCCTGGATGATTCATTCATTCTGATGCAAATTAATTTAACCTTAACATTTTAATTACTAGAATAGCGAGTCCTGCAACAGAATTTTTTATAGTAATTAATGCCAATTTTTTAAAAAATTCTCATGCAAGAGTCACAGGCAAA